GCCTCTTGGGCCCATACCCCAAACCCAACAGGGAATCTGCCATTTTGAATTTTGTGTTAGTCATTAATGACGATTTTCACGCGTGGTATTCTAACGAACTCCTCCCGGAGAAATGATCGGATTGACTTCAAATTTGGTCAGTGCAATCTAAAGACCATCACGATTATAAGTTGTCATCTTTGTGACTGTACGTTGAGCGCCGTGTCGGTGGCTTGGTGCCAAATTTCCACATTTCGCCATAGAAACAGGAAGGTTTTTTTTTTATATTTTTGGGGCATTTTTTCCTTTTATTATGTAGGACAGCTGAAGGTAGACTGGAGGCGGAGAGAGATGGGGAATGACACACAACAAAGGGCCACAGCTCTACCAGGTGAGCTATCCAGGTGCCCCATGAAACAGGAAGTTGTTGTAACTTCATTGTACTTTGTCAAATCTCGACCAAACTTCACATTTGATCAGAGTCTGAACACATCGCATGCCAATATTCAGTCACGAGTTTTACAAACCAATATTAATCTGATTTAGAATTAATAAATTAAATTAGCTCTCATTACATAAATGCTAGGGGGGGTACATTAACATAGATACACTTACAATACTTACATAATATAATAATTTCTCGCAGCAGTGAGAAAGATGTTATAGTTGTTCGACGAGTCTGGGGAAGGAAGATTCCCCAGACTCGTCGAACAACTACAATGAATCCTCATGCTTCAGGCAACTTGAGCAGCTTGTATGTGGTTGTTTCTAAAGGTAAACAGAGAGACATTCCCTTCAGCCACAGCACAATACTCGCTCTGCCAGTGTTTTTCCATGTTAATGCTTGTTTGGCTTGTAAAAGGCTGCAAAGATCAGCTCTCTGCCTTGTATATTATGTCCCTCCGGATACGTGCCAAGGACAAAAAACAGAAATAACAAATCCCATATATCAACACTGTAAATCCTCACAACATATCTAAATATAAGCTAACATAAATGAATCCTCCTTAACTTATTTTACCTTTCCTTAACAATAAATGAGATACTTGCACTGAAAAACTTTCTTTTACATGCTATAATAATGTTTTTGAGCTCAAAAGATATTTGAGCTCAAAAACATTATTGTGGCACATTAGTGAAGCATTGAATAGAAATATCTTAAGGTGGCATTAGAATAAAACTATTTTTTAGACATTTTTCCAAATAGATGTCTTTATTGATGTAAGCCTATAACATATTAAATTAATCTCTATTATTATTTATTATTATTTTTCAAATTAACATCATTTAATGTGTTAAATTTGACAGCACTTGACTCCAAACGAGGGAGGCCCTGGCAGTGTTTAGGGCCACTCCTCCTGTAGATCCACCCCTGTATAGCTAACAGTTTCATAAGTAGGGATTTCCCTTTTTACAGACCATTTTGTCAGCGGTGCCTGGAAATAACATCGACCTGTATGTATACAGGAAATTTCCCAGTAGGGGGGATTTAAAAAAAGGGAAGACAGGCCTGTTGGATAAGTGAACGCCTCACTGCAGCACATTTAGCATATTCAGTTGTCCCCCCTCGTTCTGTGTCAGCAAGCCTCTTAAATAAGTTGTTTTTCACGTTGAATGTGTGTTCACGAAGCCGCAGCCTCTGACAGTTATTATATACAGCATATTACAGCACAGTAAGTGGTTTTCTGTAGGATGCCCCAGTGAGACGCAGTGTGTTGCTTTGGTGGAAACGCAGTGCCGTTTCCTGGCCACCGGTGGTAATGCTCCCATAATACACGGCAGTGGATATAATGAGCTCCAGCAAACCTCACACACTGTGAGATATCAAAAACTGGAATGTTTTATTCCTTGGAAATATATTCTGCAACTTTTTTAATAACTGATTGATGACTTAAATGGACACTGTACAATAAAAAACCTCTCAAATTGGAGGTCGAGGGTCTAATGTGCATCCATTTTAGTTTAGGAACTCCTCCCTCTAATCTTTGCCTTTTTTATTTTGCCCTCTTGTTAGATCATTTTACTTCTTGAGGACATAAAAAAATCCCTTTTTTTAATTGAACTGATCATCAAGAAGACATTTTTGGGGTTTTAGGAGTCAAATAATTTGGCTTAAAGAGTTAGTACAGATATTTAACAGAAAACAGCTCATTCAGTTTGAGCAAAAACATACCAAAATGCTTTAACGTTTATACAATTATTATAAGTTATGTGTTTTAACCACAGCTGGAGGTAATAACTGTTTTCTTTAATATTTTTTTTTTTTAGAGTAATTGATTAAATCATTTAACTCCTGGAAAATTAGAAAAAAAATGCCCAAAGTGTCAAACCAAAAGCATAAATCTAAAAAAAACAAAAACAGAATATGTTTGGTATTTTTGCTTAATAACTGACTTAAGCTATTAATTGATTATCAAAGGTGTCACAGATTAATCTAATTGCAGCCTTTAAGTTTGTGAAAATGTGTAAAATGTGTCTAAAACCTGATAAGTTAGTTAGTTAGCAAACTGATTGTCTTAAACCGTTTATCAACTCAAACAACTCAAGTATTTATTCCTAAGGTAACTTCAGTAAATTAATTTACTTGAAGTTACTCTAATTTTTCCAAACTTATTTAAAATGTGTGAACAGAATTCATCTGAATAAAGTAACTTAAATCTTCTTTATACAAATATTGAATTTCCTATAAAGCACTAAAGCAAATTATTACATTACCTGTAGAAACAGTTAATACAAAATAAAAGCATTGATTATTAAAATGGTAGCCAATTAATTGTCTGTAAAGAAAATTAGTCATTGGAACAAACTGTAATTATATCTGCTGTATTTAAAATACTGCACAAATTAAGTTCACTTAAAACAACTAAGTTGCTTCAACAATTAATTTGTGAGTTGGTTTAATTCATGTGAATGAGTGAGGATTCATTTATGTTAACTATTACGACTTGTTGTCACTGAACTAGAATTCCACATCGCAGATATATTACAGCAGCTCTTAAAAACAAAGAATGCTAATGCGTCTCCACTCTAACATTAATTATATTCACTGTGTAGAAGTATAAATATATTAGTTTGGTATTGTGGAAGAGTTAAACCTTCTGATCGTCAGATTAAAGATATCAAACACAAGAGTTTTTAGGAAGAACATTTTGCTCTTTTGGATTAAAGATGTTACTCCAACAAATGACACAGAACAATCTTATAATGGTGAGTGAAAAGACCTCGGTGGACACTTTCTATGAAGTTTGTGAGCCTTACTGAGAACATATTGGATCCACGTTGTCATCTTCCTTATTCCAAGGGTTTCTGTAATTTATTATTTATTTTATTTTTTTATTCTAGTAACCTTGTTTGTTTGCATTTACTGCCAATGTTTCTTACTTTTATTTCTTATTCTTACACCCTGTTGTCTTGTTTTACAGCATACTTGTAAATATCTTAGTGAACTGTATAATAAATTATAAACTCTGCATTACAAATGTTTTCAGCTCAACCTTTATTGCCATCCTGTGAACTGTGTGTGTGAGCGGGTGCAGATAAGCAGTTACAGCGGTGGAAGTCAGTAAGGTTTAAGAAAGACAGTTTATTCAGCACTGGGAAGTAGAGGGGGTCAGAGGTAAAGGGTCACATGGGAGAAAGGGAGTTTGGGGTAAGTTGTTACTGCTGAATACGGCGGATGGACTGGATCTGAGGGGTCTGGCAGTGGGAGCCAAACTCCCTGAAGTGTTTGAACTCCCCACAGTGACGATCACACTCCATGATATACTGGTATCCACGATAACCAGGATACTGGTAGCACACGAATCTGTTGAGAAATCACAGAGAGAGAGGAGGAAGTGCTGATGAAATGTTGCAAAAGATTGTTATTGTGAAAGCAGCATTATTTTTAAAACCGCTGAACAGAGGCTGGAAAAAAAACACACACAAAAAATGTGAAAGTAGAAGTAAAAAGAGGAGCTGGTTCGTCAGCCGAGGACACTCACGCTCCAGACTGGATCCTGAGAGAGCCAACTTCATTGTTGCACCAGCCCATGGCCTGGAGGGAGGGATAATCGTCACTAAGCTCACCCTTACGGCCCAGGAAGTTCTCACGCTCATAGATAGTCATACGACACTCTCTGTGGTTCTGGAGGGAGGAAAAAAAACAAAAGGACAAAAACAATGAGTATAAGTGGTTTTTCCAGTCAGTCACATAAACGCTAATGTGTGTATTGAGAATAAATAGTCTGCTAGGAACAATAATGTGTGTCTGATGTGTTTTGGTTTCCACAAGAAAATTGTAATTTTCACATTCAAATGCTTAAAAAGTTTGGATTTAAAGTTTCTATATCACATTTGTATAAGTTAAATACTGGACCAGGATCTGCGGCAGATATAGATCAACAGGTGGCAGAAATATAAACTGATTTAAACCCAATTAATCACACACATTAAACACAAAGGTCCCCAAAATGAAGATATTTAAACTCAGAAACATTATTGTGGCTGTTTAGAAGTTGAGAAATTAAAAAGTTTTGCTGTCGATATAATTTACTTTTCTTCTTCAGAAAAACTCAAATCTTTAAGTTTTAAAAACAGACCATCTGATGCAAGTATCATAGTGTTTGCAGTGGATGCACACTGACTCTGACTTTAACTTACAGCACAGGCAATGGGTCTGAAGGAGGTCATCCTCTCAATGTGATAGGCATTGCTGCCTCCGAAGGCATCACACTGGGGGTACTCTCCCCTCTCCAGGACGAACTGCTGTCCCTGGTAGGAGGCGTGCTCGTAACCCACCCAGCTGTGGAAGAGCAGGACATTCTCAGTCAACAATAATAATCACTTTCACTCTGTGTTTGGTATTTTCTGCTCCTCTGTGCGGCTGTGAAACCGTTCCCTCCCTGTGTGTGTCTGTTTACTCACGCTCCACTCT